CCCCCCCTCCGCCCCCCCCAATCCCAACAGACAGAGCTGACAGTGACGGGGGTGGGGGGCCAGTGAGCCCACGGCGGGCCAAAACCAAACCAGCACCACCACCCAGACCGCTGCCCCCCAGCAAGACGCCGACACACCCGCCAACAGACTTATTTGGGGGGCACGACTGAGCAGGTGGATGCTGTCGGGAGGGGTCAGTGAACTTTACCCTTTACCCCCAACGACAGCTAGAACAGTCCAGAGTGACCAATTCACAGGGGTGGAGGGAAGAACCATTTAGTGTGTTTGCAGGGTCTTTGACCAAAACAAAACCATTGTGTCCCCAGTCACCTTTCCACAGGGGTGCACGGATTAAACCACTGTGACCGCTTAGCAGGGAGGCTAAAACATTTTGGATTAAACCAATGGAGCTGTCTGCAGTCTTTGGCATGCAGGGCGGCAAAGGACAGACGAACAGGAAGTAGCTGCCAAATGGACGCCATCCAGGGGCTTGTCTCTTGCGCCCACATTCAGTCCTCCACCTCTTGCCTCGGCCAGTCATCACACTCCGTGCCAAGTGAGGAGGACACTGTGAGACAGGCTGAGTTTATCAGCACTCTGGTGTTTTACTGTTTGAATACTGACCCAGGGGTTTGTATAGACAGAGGCACACTCCCACAGTAGCAGCTGTACAGTTTTCATGGTCAGTCATCCAGACGTCTGCGAGGATGTAGCTCTCAACACTGTTTATACTGACTCCTGTGGACTGGTGCTGTGATCCACAAAGCATTAAAACAGATGTATCAATACTCACCTCAAGTGTCCGACGCTCTGTTGGGTACCTCTTATTTTACACATAACGGCCGATTCACCAAATAGAGGATAATGCACATTGAGGCACCCAGAAGCATGAAACGGAGAGGAGATACGTGAACACGTTTTGCTCATTAGTTCATTATTTTCATACAGAAAGCTGGTTATTCACTGGATCTTTATTTCAGGTTTCAGATTTATACGATGCCAGCTGGCCAGTCAGAGGTTTATCACTGTTACCATCATTTTAAACTCCTGTTTTTAAAGGAACAGTTGAACGTATTGTGGAGTATTCACTTGCTTTCCAAGGTGTTGATGTTCAGATAGATGGCAGTGTCATGTTGTGTGTTAAGCCCTGAGATGGAGTCGCGATGACAGAGTTATCCCAGCTTAGCATAAAGATGGTTGCTAGCTAGTATGACCCCTGACAGGGTTATAGTTGGTAAGACCCGCCTCAACCATGAGATCAGCAAGAAAGGGTTCCAGCATAAAACTCCTTTTTAGTTTTCTTTTTAAATACAGCTTGGACAACAGATGTGATAACGGGCTGTAGAAATGTTTTGTTGAACTTTGGACAGAGCTAGGCTAGCTGCGTCCAGTCTTTATGCTAAGCTAGGCTAACCACGTCCTCACATGAGACTGATGCCCACTGAAACATCTGTCTCAGAAATAAAGAGGAGAAGCAGATTTTCTAAAATGTTGAATTGAGATCTTAATAGTTGGAACCGTGCACTTCGGCCTCAAGCTGTCAAAGAATAAGGACGTATCTACTGCTTTGCCTTTCAAACTAAAAGTCATAAGAATCCTGTGTAGACAAAACAGCTTTGCCAAAAAGTGAGCTGAACCTGAATGTCCAGAGTCATGCCAGACTTGTGCTGAATGTAAGGCCTGGTCCAGTTCTGACTGCCGGCCCTGAACTGACCGGCCAGTGAGGGTTACTACGGATTGGGCCAGTCTAGCAGCCATATCCAGGCCAAAGCAGGCTGCATTGGAGATACAACACCAGGGCACAGCCAAGTGTTCAGATTTTAACAGTAAAATTGTCACACACCCTGGCTGTATGAAAATGTTGAGGGGATTTTCTCACAGCAGATTTATTTTTTATTTTGGCCTTCTTGTATGAGGTTTATTGTATCATAATTTATTCTTCCTCTTCTAATGTGTGAACTGGTGCCAGTTGTGACAGTTTAAAGGTTTAAAGCAGGCGTTCCCAACCAAGAGGTCGTAACAAAATGTTGTTTATGGACCTGCCAGGAGCGGGGCCCGTGAACTTGTATTGCAGCATTTAACTTATAAAAAAAATACACAATCTGATGTTTGTCAGTGATCTGGTGACTTACTCTTGCTTGCTGCCTGTTGTGCTTGCAGGCAGCGAACCAGATAAATTCCTCTGTGGAATTTTAATTAACTTGTTGAACTCTATAAATGAGCATCTCATGCTGCTGTACAATTAACTACAAGTAAAAGTTTCCAGCAAAATTACAAAAGCATCCTGCAGACAAATAAAATCATTCCTGTGGGTTTTCAAGACCCAGACCTAGTCTGTGGTCCAGGGTTGGGAACCTCTGGTTTAAAGCAAAGTGCACCAGTTGAACTTTGTTTTTAATGGTGAAGGGAGATGTAGCGAGGCCTACGCTGTTATATTTTTCTAAAGTGTGTCATTATTTTCTAGGTGTTGGTTTTTCAAATAGTGAACCACGGTTCAGCCCGTCTCCCACAGCCATGAGTTTCAGTGCACTTGTGCATATTTCAGGTGAGTATTCAGCTGTTTCTGGCCTGTTTTGATCAGAGTACGGTTTCCAGTCACTGGAGCTCAGACATGCACAGACATGCACTGGTGTTTACTTGGAAGGGGAGCTGGGAAAACAAGCTGAATTTGTGATTTCTTCCAGTCTAACTGGACTTTTTTTAAAAACTCTTTTAGTTCTTTCTTCTTTTTTGTGGTGACCTCAAGTCCTCAAGGTTTTTAAATTGATGTCATGAAGATTTACTCACCACACCAGGATGTCAGAGGTCAGAGGTCACCTGTCAGCTGATCCCAGCAGTCAGCTCCGTGTCACCTGCAGACAAACATATTAATTCAGGTTTTTCTTTATTTTACATAAAAACGATTTAGAAAATGATGAGCAGCAGGAGGAAATGTCTGAAAATAGCAAAAACACAGGAATGTTGATGTAAAATATGGTTTTAAAGTGGTGTGTGTGTGTGTGTGTGTGTGTGTGTGTGAGGATACAGAGTGAGTCCTGTTGTGTGTTTCATCACATTGTCCGCTGGTTATTTTAGGTTTCTTCTGCTGCTCCCTCAGATTTGACCCAGCACTGCTCAGCTGATCCACAGGACAGAGACGACAGATGGATATTATTCTGATGATTCTATTGTTATCATTATTATTGATCTTGACATGTGGGGTGAACTCTGATGTTCAATATATAGACACATGTTTGCAATAAAAAAACAAAGAAAATGAACCAAAACACTGCTGTTGATGATTTTATTTATCACAGCTCCTTGTCCAACCTTTAGAACTGCTGCCCAGTCAATTTTGATTGATTGTAGTTATTATTTTATTTTTACTGTTTAGTTTTTGTCTAGTCTTTGCTGGCTTTTTGCTCTTAACCCAGTGTTTGTTTTTAGTGTTTTATTTTTTATTTCCATCTTGTATTTGTGTTTTTCCAGCTAGACTAAATGTGAGCTGCTGTTTTGCAGCCATGTGAGAGCATCATTCAAGACAATAAGCAGGAGGTTCATCTCCAGGAGGCATCAGAGGTTTGTGCATCAACCTGGAGGAGGAGGTGTGATACCTCATTACGTCCAGCAGGGGACGCTGCAGGCCAGAGAGGGTTGTGCTGTAAACAGTGGACAGAGACAGGTTTATTTATACAGCACATTTCAAATACAGTAATTCAAAGCGATTCCCAGAGAAAACCGTTAAAAGCATTAAGAATTCGAGTAAAATTGATTAAGACAAAGTTTAACTCATTACAAATAACTTTATCCTTCCAAGGGTAAATTCTCACATTTCATTTCTCAGCTCAGTCGAGCTACACTCTCTAATTCTGACTTTATTTTACAAGAGGAGTGTACATATAATCACTAATACAGGAATTAGAGAACAATGGCTGGTTTACAGAGAGAATTCACAGGAGCTGTTATTTCTGTTTTCTCTTGAACATCACGCTGAGAACAGGCCGTTTCTGAGGAGCTCAGAATGATCTCAGCTACAGTGACGCCATCATGAGGAACAAAATGTTCAGAAGTGTCACTGTTGCTGTTCAGAGGAGATAGACCTCCCCCAGTCAGACACAGTTCCTTCATCTAATCCAGACTGTGATAAAGGTGTGGAGCCACAGAGCTGCAGAGGACTGAAGGCTACTGAGCCAACACAGCCGGCTCACATCACCAGTGAGGTGCAAGCGTTCTGGTAGAGCCTCCTGTGACTCCTGTCGGCCAGAGCCAGATGTGGATGTCAGTTTATTAGCTCAAAGACCAGAAGCAGGGGGAAACTGTACAAACAAATTAAAAGAGAAATTATGGTTCAGATATTGGCCAATGAACCATGTTAATGAAGAAATGTTTTGTAGGAACAAACCTTTGGGACATGGTTCACAGTTTATCTAACTACTGTGTCAGCAACATGCTAATGCTATATCTACTGATGTTCATGGATCAGTTACAAGACTCCACTGCATCAGAAAACCAGGAAATGATAAAACCCTGAGTGAAAAAGTCAAACTTGTTGAGCCCAAGTCTCAAGTGGAGAAACAATGATTCGCATCAGAATCAACTTGTAAAGAAGCAAATAGCATAAATCAGTGTCTTTTGTTGTAAAAGAAGAATAAGGCACTGAAATAATGATGAATTATTCTTCTATATGTTCCATTTTACAACATTCTGATTTCATTTAGAAGCAGTGGTGAAGTTATTTTATTGCATTTGCCAAATTTGTTAACTTCTTGTTGACTTTTCGACTGAATAACACAAAAACAGTCTGGTAAGATGGAACGTGTAGTCACCTATTTTTCCCAAAATGCAGCCATTAAGCATGTTTATGATTGTTGCTGTGAATATAAACAATTTCTGACCATATGTTGGCACAACAAGCTGATGAAACTATTGTATGTGACCATAACGTGGAAGAAAATGACCAGGCAGCGATGCCCAGCAGCCACAGGGACCCACAAACGCACCACAACAATGCAAAACCACCACAAAGCGCTGCAGACTGTCAGTACTGTACACTGGCATTTGACGTTGTAGGATTTAGATTAGACTTCACTTTCCCTGACTTCACTGTATTTTGCGGCACACAGACGAGTCATCTAATGAGCTTTCTAGTGTGCTGAGATTTTTGGTGCAGACAGAAAAAAACCTGGAGAAACATCATCTGAGCAGTGATGGAGGAGCAAGGGAGCACCAGCATGAAGTCAGACTGTGTCAGTGTTTTTACAGTGCACATAGATCCAGTCTGTCCTGTCCTTCAACCGGCAACTCTTCATTTGTATGTAAATAAGAAACTGATGCAAATGTGCTCTGGCTCCTCATGGGAACTGCAGACACAACAGTCAGCGAGACCGGAAACAGCCAGAGAAGGAGTTGTTCCAGGCAGCGACGCGGGACTACAGGGGAGTGAACGCCCCAGAGTTCTTAGCATACTTGAGGAAGGCGTCACCGTCAGAACGCAGAGGGCCAGTGGAAAGGCGCTGTAGTGCAAGAATGAACCAAGTATTCAGGCGAATAGCAGGAGGCTGATCTACAGACGGATTCAGACCCACACAGATGTTTACAGCTGTTCTGCTCAGGGTGGACTCTGAAGTCCAGCAGAGGTGGATGCTATTTTTTATTTATTCGTGTTTGCACTGAAACAGACATATCTCTGTGCTGCGGCAGGTTCACTGTCCACAGGAAGTCGTGGGCTGAATATGATAAACTGTCATAATAAGGTGCACACAGCTATGGAGACACACATGTCCAGATATGTGTTTGGTCAACGTGGAGCTGTGTGAGAGGTGCTGAAGCTCTGCCAGGCTACTGGGATGTGTGTGTGTGTACACTACTGCGTAGTGTATGCTGCCTGTTTATGTGCTCAGTAATCTTCCATATCTGAAACAGAGGGAAAGGATGTACTGTGATTCAGCTCTGAGTTATCACTCTGATATTCCTCCCAACAAGGCTGTTATTACTCTACCCTGTAATCACACACACACACACACACACACAGACACACACCCTTGCAGGGCCCATACATGGAATTACATTCATTTCCAGGAGACTTATCCTAACCTTAACCTTTACCCTAACACTTAACCAAAGCCGACGCTTGCTCTAACATTACACCCCATCATTTTTGTAAAATTTGAAAAATTAGTCTTGGGGTGCTACCTGCAGTCCCCGCGAAGCAGTGTTCCGTCCCCACAAGTATATATAAACCCACCCCCACCCCCACACCCACACACAGAGGTAGGTGTAGCCTGCTGGTACAGGCCCACAAGCCACTCATCACACACACTGATCTCTTCATTGTTAAAGGATCACACTCATTTGTTTGCAGCTAATTTACATGAAGTCTGACTGTAACAGCAGCTCCTACAGCAAACACATCAGGCAGTTTCACCACAGACACTGAAACATACAGTTTAGTATCAGCTATTAAAATAGCTGCTGAAGAACGGGGGGCAGCATCCACCTCTGCACTGCAGAATGCTTTCTCTTCTTTAAACTAGTCTCTCACTGCTACTGAACAACAGGTAACTTTCAGTGAAAAGTCGAACCGGTTCAACATTTCCTGTAAATATTACATCATCCTGCTGCTCTGCGTTGGCCAATCATGTACATGCAGGTATCAGGTGACCTTTAAACGTGAAGTCGTATTTCTGCTGTTTACCTCGAGGGCTAAACAGGTAACATTCAGGGCCATGGTCCCGTCTGTGAGGGTTACAAACCACTGTGTTTTGGATTAATTAGCTTTAAACACAGAGGTCAGTTCCAAGTGGACTTCCCGGCTCGCATTTCACTGTATGAACACCCCCGCACCAGCACAGCCCCCTGTGCTGTTTTAAGGCAGGGCAAATGTCTGTGTGAATCCAGTCCAACACACATTCCTGACTAATTATGCAAGCATGTTCAGTCCTGTCAGCTCTTCCTGATTCATCACACACACAGAAACAGACTGTGTGCTGCAAAGTGAAGGAGGGACATTCCTCATTTCTTCCCTCCCTGTTTTGTTTTAGGTTTACATAGGGCATTTGGATCTAAAGGACTTTTGTATGGCCAAAAGTAACTGTAGTTATACTGCTCCTGTTCCACATTTAAATCAGGCCCATCCTTGTTGAACACACTCAGAACCTTTGCTCCTTTTCTCATTTCTGACAAGAGCTACCTGCAAAAACAGACCTGACTTAGCCTGACGGCAGCTCACTCCTCAACACGAGCCTGCACCAGACTGGAGGAATGGGCTTCTCGTGGGCTCTTTCTTTGTCCCACTCTCTCTGTGCAAAAACACGAATCATGAGGTGAATTGAAATTTTTAGATATCATTTATTTAGTTTTGTTTACAGTGAGGATGCTTTCTGTCATTATCCTGCAGCAATCATGAGAGGAAACAGGTGCTGCTCAGAGTTTCTCAGAACCACAGTGCCAAACACTCCCCCGGCACTGATGGATGGAGGCGATGAAATTCACCCTGATGGAAAAAATGTGTAGTACCTTGTTAAATCTGCAGCTCTCTGGTTTTCAGAAGAATGTCAGAGAAACAGAGCTGACGGACTTAATCCCCAGATGTGTTTGTAGGGTGGGTTTTCCTGTTGGAGATTCTTCATCACACTGACTTTGGCCTGCTGCCAGGTGTCATCAAAGGGTTGTGTTTCAGCAAGTTTGTAACTGTGGATGTTTGTGTTTCACCCCTTTGGCTGAGGGGGTGCTGCTTCAGGTGCCTTTTGGCCTGTACCCGAGTTGGTCCTCACACAACCTCGTTTCCTGGTTCAGTCTGTGCAAAGCGTTTGAGGACTCCCACAGCAGCAACATCGACCCACAGGGCAGACACATGGCTCTCACTTCGGGGCTCACCAACATAAGAAACGCTGCTGAACTGCATCAGATAGCTAAACGGAGACCAATGTCCATTCAGAGCAGAGGACCGTGAGGTTAAAAAAGAAGTGCTCGGATTCTAAAAGACGCAGAAAAGCGCATACGTGCGCACAAAGAGGAGGAGGACACCTCCTGCATTATCTCCAGAAGATGAACCTATCGAGGTTTTGGCCACACAAGTTTTACAGGGATCCATCTCGCAACACTCTTGCTCGTCTTTTAGCCGCATTGGCAAGCCCCCGCTAGAACAGCCGTACTTATACGCACGGCCATTACGCACGGGCACATCTATTTATAGAGCCTTGTAATTTGATAACAATCAATTGTTAGTGATGTCTCAATTACCATTAAACGGAAATGAGTTAAGTAATAGATTATTAAAGGTTAAGATAAATAACAGGAAAATGACAACAAAGCAAAAGAAATAAGAACAAATTCCATCAGGGCAACACGTGATGTTTAAAAATACACTTTATGATCTGAAGTGAATGTAAGCAGCTAAAATCAATGAAAGCTGTTTAAAATTGTCTGTCTCGCCTTATTTTTCACTTCCACCTCCCCCTATCGCTCCTACTCAACCCGTGTGCGCATGGTCTGTGGTGTACCTCAGGTGCGCACGTCCTTCTCGCACGCTCTCTTTATTCTACATTCCGGGAGGGGGGGGGGGGGGGGCTGGCGG